GTCTGCAAAGTCCAGGTTATGCATCTACTCATAGGTACGGGGCTCTTTTGCTGTCTCGGCAGCAAGGCATAGGGTGTCGCTTCGTTTCCTCCCTTAACGGTGCTTGGCCCTCCGGGGTTACATGGATGGACAGGGAAGGAGGTGTGGTGGGCCGGGGAATCCGAGACCCAGGAAGAGTACTATATGGGAGTCGGTAACCAATCGCGACCCCTGAATGCTTGGTCAACACCACATAACTTTTTGTTTTTCTTTTGCCCCTTATTTTGTCCCTTATTGTCGAGAATTTATAAGGTACAGTAAAAACGCTCAAATAGCAAAGAATTTAGGCATACAAATTGTGATTTGGCCGGCATGTTATACATTTAATGTGTGTCATGGATGCCACTAAACTATAAACTCATGGTGGTAAAATCATGATAAAAATTTGCCCAGATTTAAAAACATGTGCAAAATGAAACGCCTTTTCAGAGGGTTACAGACGCCGTAAATTGGAATAAAAGTACATTTTCTCTTTAAAACAAAAGATGCAAATCAAAAACTAGTAAGCCTAGAAAAAAAGTATGTAAACAGCACGGGGTGACATCTTTACGAAAAGGTCTTCAAAGTGTCTGTCCAAAGAAATTTCGAAACCGCACCGGCGGGCGGCTGGCGGCGGGCGGCTGGCGGCTGGCGGCTGGCGGCTGGCGGCGGGCGGCGGGCGGCGGGCGGCGGGCGGCGGACGGCGGGCGGCGGGCGGCGGACGGCGGGCGGCGGGCGGTGGGCGGCGGGCGGCGGACGGCGGGCGGCGGGCGGCGGGCGGCGGGCGGCGGGCGGCGGACGGCGGGCGGCGGGCGGTGGGCGGCGGTCGTCCCCAATCTTTGGTTTGGTGTAAGTCTGCACGGAGAGGTTTCGGTTTCACGCGAGCGACGCGAAGCGTTGTTTCCGAAGGATCAAACCCCAAATGCATGAACAATGTTCGCTGTCAAAAGTGTATCGCCCAATGAGGCATGTTCGAATTCCTTGCTACTGTAGGCCCCTAGTGATTGGAAACAAATTCTATTACCCCAAGTGCATTGTTCAATGAATATTATTTGTGATGATACGTACTCTCAATTGATGGTACTAATTAAGTTTAACGGTCGAGTCTGCGCAGGTTTGGTTTGTGGGCTAAACGTACAAAAAGTAGTTCGCCCATAATTAGCCGTTTCGGCAACGTAGTTCGCCGAAAGAGCTCCTGTTTATTACGTGTGTTCATATTTGGATGATTATAGAAAAAGAGGGTTCGTTGCTGTTGTGATTCGAAAGAATTGTATAGATTGCATAATTTGTACAGTGTCAATGACGATCAGTAGTTGGGTGGTTATTTATAGTTGATTGAGGGCGCTATTCAAGTTTAACGGTCCAGCCTACGCGCACTTTGTTTCGGTAGTTAAAGGTACGAAAAGTAGTTCTCGCGTAATTTGCTGTTTTGGTAACGGAGATCGCCAAAACAGCTCTTGTTAAAAGCCTGTGTATCATGTTAGGATTAAAAATAGGAACCGCTGCATTTCTTTGATTCTCATTTCTAACAGACCCTACAAGATATCACCCCTAGAACCTCTAGAACACTATTCACCGTAATGTAACAAATGGGGAAAATAAATTCAGGAAATCAGGCTCTGTGATATTGGAAGTGATTGAAAATTAATATCGATTTACGCGAAGTATACTGTATAACAACCAGTGGATTCCCAGAGAGGACGCCTCTCATTAGGTGTCTATATGAGTCATGGGCGTCGCCAGGATTTGTTCTAGAGGGGGATATTTTTCCCACAAAATTCTTGTATTTCTGAACAAATTATCGATTTCTCAGTTTGCCCCCCTCCCAACTCATTAAATTTACACCACTATGACTTCGCGCCTGTTTTTCTTTTCTTTTTTCTCTTTTTTTTTTTGCTTTTCGGGGGGGGGGGCGGCAAGCGCCCCCTTGGCCCCCCCCCCCCCCCCTTGCGACGCCCATGCTGGTAGGGGCATCTGGATCACTATGTTATGGTGTTCTAAAAGGGACAGACAAACGTCGTGTGCTTCAGCTTTCAAACGTCGTGTGCTTCAGCTTACAAACGTTTTGTGCTTGAATTTCAAACGTCGTGTACTTGAGCGTGATACTGCATTTTGGTGGGATAACACTGTAACATTTTTACTTCGAAACAAATTCTTGCTTTGTATAACTCACGGCGCGCGAGTTGACGACGACACCGCACGCAAAACAAATGCTAATGTATTGCACATGCATATTCAAAAGTCTTGCACATGCAAAAGATCCAATACCAGGGTTGTGGTGGGCGCGTACAGCTCTACATCCTGGGTACGAGGTTGGTCATCACGCCAAACCTGAGCCAGTCAAGTTCCTATAGTTACGAGCAACGCTATCCGGTTCGTTAGAAAAAAACGTCATACACGCGCGCGCACCACTGATTACCAGCGCCCATTGGTTGAATTGAGATGACGTCAAACTAACGAACTGGATGGGCTACTCGTTGACCCACGCACCCGACTGTGACACAGCAAAAATGCCGTTTGAGGTGAACCTTTATCAATTTCATCACTTTCGTCATGTTCAAAAATTTGGCCAGAAAACGCCATGTTCAACTGAGGGATTTCCTTTAAACAACTATACCTTCAATGATCTTTTTAAAAAATACAAATGAAATGTAAAAAAAAAAAGGTTTTCACAAAATAGATCGTTTTTGTGTCGTAATTGTAGGAGCGTCTTTGACGGTGCTACTACACAGTGAGTACATTCGAGCACGTGGTCGTGCAGGATTCACTGCATGATAGACCAACACGAATACAGATTCTTTTCTAGAATTGATCTTTTGATACTTACCTAATAGTAATATTATACACACATGGACTGTACATTAACAGTTGACCTTGCAATACACTGAAAAATTGCCTGGGTTAATTTTACCCAAGAAAGGATGAAAACTGCAACTACCCAAAATTGGGTTATTCTTTACCTAATTGTTTGGTCTATAATTTCTGTTAAATTCAACCAAAGAATTTGGTCATATAAGACCAAATTAAATTTGGTCTTGAAAGGCCACAAATTGTGTTGCAGTTTTCATCCTTTCTTGGGTAAAATTAATCCAGGCACTTCAGTGTTGGCCTCTAGCCCCCCCCCCCCCACCCCACTTCGCCGACACAGATTGACGCCGCTGAAAACATACAAATAAAAAAATCGTTCGGAGAAATAATATCATTTTTTATGAAGAGCACGGGGTATACATGCTACCCTCTTTTCAACTCGAGAGAAAACAATAAAACTTTCGCCATTTATCCGCCCGGTCATCCGGAGCTCCGTACAATTTGAAAGTCATTTAGGCTAATTGCAGGCCTTTTAAGAATCATTATCCTGGAAAGGGTAGATTGAAACTATATAGTCCAAGTACTCGGACTCTATCAAATCACAGTCATGATCTGGCGGCAGAGTTCGAGAGGAAACTGTTTCGACAGGATCAATCCAGACTCAATAAGCACTTCTACAGCTGGAGGGCAGTGGATAGCTAGAACCAATTGTCCGAGAGTGGCATCCAAGTGCCCACACTTCTCTGCTTCAAGCCGAATTTAAGTAACTTGGGTTTTTAATGGGCACATGAAGCCTCCTTAACTGCTCTTCTACAGGACGTTAAGATGGAGGTGGCCTTCAAGGTGATTGTCAAGGTATTATGTTCATGCACGGATGCCATCAAATCATCGCGCACTCGACGCCCACCAAAAGCTTCAGATTTTACCCTAAAAAACTTTGTGGAAATGCGTACCCCTCTGCGGAGTACATTGTAAATAGGGCTCGTGTCTTCATTAATATCGCAACCAACAAGATGACAAAAAAATATAAACGAGAGGCAAATGTTCAGTTTTTACTGTTTATTCATCTTCAGTTTTATTCTTGGAATACATTTTGACTGTGAAATAATAGCCCCCGCAAGCTGCGGATCAATAAAATAATAATCAGGGGTTAATATTGTATTAATGCATTGGAATGGAATTAATCCTGGTTATCGCGAACCGATAACAAGTGCATGTGGCATGTTTGTTCCTTTAGGTTCATTGCTCACAATCATTTGGGTTTCAGAGTTGGGGAGCAAGTTGGGTGATATGCCTCAGTTTGGTCCACCCCCCCCCCCCCACCCCTCCAGGCCCATTTCGGCTGAGGTGGTACCAGGAAAAAGACGATCAAAGTTGAGACAAGAAGAACAAATCCCAAAATATCTCCAAACAAATCTTACATCCATGAGTGAAATTGTTAAGATGTTTCACATTCCACAACCGACCCTCTATAACAGGTTGTAAACTGATTTTTTTTAAAATAATTTCTTTACCTTTGACTTTATCTCATATTCATAAATACCTCAGACAGTTTAGCTATTCCTATTGGTCGAGAGCCCGTCACGTGGCCGGTCTTAAACGGATGATAAAGACATGGCTAGCTGGTCTTAAACACTTTTCCAGTGTCACAATAAAATGTGGACTCCTAAAAATCCAGTGCCTCTTACCGTTTCATTGGTTGAACGTTCATAATCCTCACGTAGGCATGCGCCGAACACTACAAGCGAGTCAGAATTTTATAGTTCTAAATTCAAAACGCAACGCCCCAGGTGCGTTCTGCGTGACATCGCGCAGAACATGTTACGCGCGCGTCAATCTCCATAAAAGGGTTGTTTACATCTTACTCGCCAGCTGAACACTCCATTATTTTGCTAGAGGGGATGTTTCAAAAAGCATGAAGTGAACTTGTTGAACAAAATCGGGATTTTTTGAACGAATTATTTGATATTTTTTTACGGATAAGGTATTTATGAATGGGAATAAATATGTGCTCGGTCGGTATTTATCACTCTGTTTAATACCGCTTAGAGTCTGGGTGCTGATAATTACCCTCGCCTCCGGCTCGGGTAATTATCAGCACCCAGACTCTAAGCGGTATTAAACGAGTGATAAAAACCTCCGGAGCACACATTTATTCCCTTATTAAATGGACCTTGTAATTTTGTCTGATAATTGTTCAGTGTACTGACGGCATACTTTTTTTTAAAGTTGATATTTCAAGTACAATTATGTCATTTTGCACGAAACTTATCACTCGGCCTACATTTTGGACCACCCTATTTTTTTCTCTCTTGCCAGGTTATACGATCAGTCCGGTTCTCAAATCTTTACACTGGCTGCCTGTTACTCGCAGGATTCAGTACAACCTAATTATGATCACCTAAAAGGCCCAATGCCAGAACATTGCCCCCCCCTCATACCTAATTGATCTGCTGATACCATACACCAAAGGTCATCACCTGACACAACTCTTCACAATATCCCAGCAGTCAAACTGAAATCAGCTGGAGAAAGAGCTTTCTGCAGTTACCAAGGGACTTGCGCAATTGAACTCCCTGACTCTTTTCAATTTCTGTGTAGCTTTAAGTGTTTGAATCTTGGATAGTTTCTAACTTGATATTGTACTGCGTCATGAGCGATTTGTTTATGTAGCTTTACTACCTTAAAAAGAACCATTAGGGAGACACTTTTGCTCAGAGGTTATACGTTTGGGAGACGTGTGGAACTTTAAGGGGACATTTCAATGTCTCCTATTACCTCAGTTCTTATTTAGAGGAAAAATGTTACAGTCGCAAATAGACTAGATCAATTGCTCGTGGTCCAATTACTAAAAATACCAACATTTCCAAAAGTTGGATTATTATTTGTGCACAAGCCTATGGGAATATCTCTCAAAGGGTATGATTATCGGTTATATTAAAAATTGTGTTAATCATTATAATTTTATTGTTATTTATTATATAGATTCACAGCTAAATGGTGTAATTACACAGCTAAAACAAAATGGCATATTTCTAGGATGTGTGTTTCACTCGTCAGTATAATTCTTCTGTAACTGCTCTGCCAATGCACGCAGTCGCGAGTTGACTTCATCCCACTCCACGTAGCCTCCCTCAAGATGCCGGGCGTTCGTCTCCGTCACCTGGAAGGAATTACGGCCATGCAAGACTCTACGGTTGTCGTTTGTAAGTATGTCTCCTGCAAACAAGGATGAACAACAAGTAATCGTAAGTAACCTGTAAACATTGAAATGCTCTGAACCCCGCTCTAGCGACCGAAGGCAGCATAAGGACGCTGTCTCGATTTCATTTCCCACAATTTATACTTAGGGGGAGGGAATAAAACCTTTGTTAAGTAATATTTAAACAAAAGAAAAATGCTTAGACGGTTATGGCGACGTGCTGCTATTTGTTGCCGTGCCTTCCCTTTAAACAAGACATATCTTTAAGAGGCCCGAGTTCCAAGCCAACCCCTCCAAGTCTTCAAAATAATCATGAGTGAAATTCAGGCATATCATTGTACCTCTCTGTAGTTTGTACTGTAGCAGATTTTCTGGCAGCTGAAGCATATTGAAGTATTTGTCAAAGGCGCGGTAAATCGGCTGGATCTGGTCAACGGGGGCTCTCAGCATAGGGTCCCGGCTATGGTTGCTGATGGCAATTTGCTCAACGTCACCAAGTTCATTCAATCTGTAAAAAGGGTATACAACCGGGTGTTATCAGAGACACCATGATTCTCAAACGAGACAGCTAGATTTCTAGTGCTAGCTTCCACAAACCCCAACTGTTCACTTGTAGACTTGAGTTCCTGTCGGGAACGGTCGTACATTTCTATCAACGACGTTTTCTGAGCTGAAATTGCACCAAAAAGGGGAATCATAAGACTCTGGAATAGGAGTAGCTGAAGACCGTACGTGGGTGTAGGTGAACACTGAAAATGGAGTCCTTTTGGACAGAGTCGCTGGGTTCCATTAACTAGTAACTATGACTCTCTTTAAAGTTCGAGTGACTCCGTCGCTTGCCAGGGAAATGCCATAAAAGCGTGTACCATCTACTGCATACCAGATTTGGTGTAGTGTCAATAAAGCGGTATTTCCAAATGCGCTAACTTACTTGATAACAGGGTGCCTACTATGCATATAAAAGCGACCAAAGCAGTCGGTGTCCCTGTGCGTATACTCAAACTGGTAGGTCGTCAAGAGCCGAAATGCTTCCGGGTCAATTTCCTTCAAATCCAGGGCGACTTTGAAGCCATCAACTAAGAGACTCTCACCGCCTTCCCCAGCTGCCTGCTCTATGCAATGGAGGAGGAGCACCTAGAAAACATAATGGTATACAGATCATTTCGGTTGTATATTTTTTAAATCGGCGGTTGACAAGATGTGTGCAGCTACAATTTCAAAAGCAGCATTTTGGTGGTCGCTACCTGAAAACTGAATAGTTAGATTTTAACTATTATTATTAATAATAATAATAGTTCAAATCTAACTATTCAGTGGCGCGAGTGGTCGCAGTGACTGATTTTTTTTCGAGCGGTCATGTACTTACATAAAAAACTCTTTGTCCATATTTGGTATTACCTATTTTGAATATTCATGAGATGAACTATCGTAAACAGGGTGAACAAACTTACAGTGCAACTTATATGCGTGGCGCGCCATGGGCTTAGAGTACTGCTTCATAACGCGCAGTGAGTGGGGGTTGATGTGTTCCCATTGCTCAGCGTGTAAAATTGTGTATTCTCCATCGTTGTGCTTTACTTCATTGGTGTATGTACTTACATAAAATTGTAAATAATTGCTGTTCTTTTGTAATCAAAATTATCTTAAGACAATAACGTTTGCAAACCAGAGTGAACAATCTGTGCAGGCTCAACCAAAACGGTGAAATGAAGCGAGAAAGCAAAGCAACGCCGAATTTTGTATTGGGTTATATATTTTGGGCCGCCTGAGGGCGCCCTATATGAGACAAACAGTACCATATGAATGGCATGACCTTTTTGTTTAAGCTTCATGAAGGTTATAGTTTCTGTCAACCATCGATTGGTAAACCTTTAAGGGGACGCTTTCGCAAAAGCAATAGTAGCGTCCTTATGAGTGCGCTGTTTTGTCGCCATTCTGGGGGCACGAACAAACGGGAACCCGAGGTCCTTGAAAGTTATTTTGTTGCCTTACTTCAACATTTACATTATTACAATATTAAAATTCCATATTGTGGAAAAAATTACTGAATCGCTGCAATGAACACCAGGGCACACATTAAGCCAGTTAAGAGTAGCGAACTGCAACAGATGAGATTCAAATCAAGGGTGGACAAGAAAAGCGCAGAACAAACGATTATTCATAGACTAGACTGTATTCAACTATGCCGTAATAGAGATCGTGGTTTTTGTCACACTACGCCATTGATAATTGATTGATCACTACCTTCTGTTTTTACTCTACATGTACCCCTAAATAAACCTCGATGATGCTGCCCCTGTATGATATGCCCCTCTTCATTGCGTCTGACTAAGTAGTTGTTGCTATCAAAGATTATGCAAACTTTCCTTCCAGTTAGTCATTTAAAGTAAAGCCTTACTTTATATTTGATTTGCCTGACTAACAAGGCTGCCCACCATTTTTATTTCAATTAACAGGGTACTTTTGCCATCAGTGAGAAAATGGCTCGCTCACCAATATAGTTGATAAAAATGTTTACCATCTGAAAATTGGAAAACTCAAAGTACCTTGTACTTCCTTAGTTCCCGTCTTGAGTAAAAGAACATACAAATTAAAAACAAAACAAAAAGGAAAGAAAATACAAACAAGACCAGGCAATTAAAATGTGTCCCAGATCGTAAACATTCTGATCCAGTTCTTTAGAATTGTTATTTACTGGAAGAGATTAGGCCTACATGCATCTAATGCACCGTGAGCCGGATTTAGCTCATTCATTGGCGTTAAGGGGGAGTCCAAAACGGTAGCACTGCCCAACTCACACGGCAGTCAGTAGTCAGTCAGATACAAATAAGAGGATACTGGGCTGGGACATTTGCTCAAATGGTATACGTGAGAATTGTGTGAAATGGTGTGGATGACCAAACAATAGACCATCATCATGTTGCGGCCATCGTATTTCTTTCCATTCAAATCAACATAACCAGAGCAAGACTGAAAAAAAAAACAGTCTGGTTCCTTTTTGCACAAACAACTTTATCATTGAGTACTGATATTGGATACAGGGAACATAACTAAAATGGTGGCAGCATGATAAAGATTTATTATCTTACCCCTGGCATTCGCGATATGTACGTATAGTCAGTGTGCCTTACTAAGGCACCAGACGTGTTGGCAATACTGCCCGGATCGTGCTTGCTCTTCACGTGCCAAGTTACCCTGCAGAAAAATATGTAAAAAAAACGCCATTGTCCGTCTTAACCCTCTCAAGTTTCATATGACACTCGTGAAAGAAAAGACGTCACCCTTAGTCTCATATTGCAGTGTTTTTTTCGTTCGGGTATTTAAAAGTGTACATTTATGTGCTTTGATACTATCCTATTTTAGCAAGAATTTGTATTAGTGGTCCCATAGATGGTTGAATATATAGATAAAGTGATATAGATTTGTGCATACCATCATGGTATTTTGCCTTGGAGACTTGCTTTGTAGTGGATTATTTCACATTACGATGACACTGGTCATTCAGGAGACATTTTAATGTCTTCCTATATATCTTCAATTTCTATAACAAATTTTAGTGTCGACAAATGCTTAACGAATCCGTCCGTCGACAATATAATTTAAACTTTCTGGGAAGGGGAGAATTTTCAATTGGGGTTATCGGGGAGTTTTATGTCTCCCTATATAAGGTACCATTATTATTATTATCATTATTATAAGTATTACTACTATTACTGTAATAGGGCGACAGGTTTTGCGAACTCCGTCCACAATAGGGCGATACACCTTATTGAGGCGACAAAATAACTGTCGCCCTTTTATGAAAACGACCCTTAGGACAAGGAATTTTGCTGTCGCTAACCATCTAGATCGATTCCTCATGGTCCAATTAGTATAAATACTAAATTTCGTGGAAAAAACATAAGGTAAACTTGGGTTAGGTGACAGTTTAGGTTTGTGCACAAGTCTATGGGAAAGTCACCCTATTGGGGCGAAAAGAGTATATTATTATTATTATTTTGTGTAATGGTACCATTAAGGAGACACGTTATCGTAATATCTTCGCACGATGGGAGACATCGGTCACAGCCGCCCCCCCCCCCTTTAGAGGCAAAATTGTACCGACGCAATTAGATAATATTCGTTGCTCGTGGTCTAATTTGTAAACATACCGAAATTCGTGGGAAAAGGACAAAGGAATATTGGGTTAGGGCACATTTAATTTGAAACACTGTCGGTTTCATGAGTTGACTTTTACACTTATCAAATAAACCGGTCGAATGTATCGTTATTTTTTTAAGTTAGCCTCGTGTGTTTGCATACATTGTAATATTAGATTGGTTTGTTTGAAACGAACCCGTATAATGTTGGTCGAAGGTAGGACACCCGTTCTCCCAGCTTGTACAGCTGACCAGCTTCTAGTGGGGCGTTTTTTACGACAGCGAAACCTTGAGTAACCAGCTCAGCCAGCCAGCCGTAGAGGGCGTGGTCTTCCGCTAGCAAGTCATCAAACTCAAAGCATTCGATGTTGACGTCAGAGCCCCAAAGAGTCGGCTTCGGATTCAGCAACTTGTCATTCGGTGATTGGTCAAAGCGGAAGTAGTTCAGCCAATGAGATAGGAATTCACTCTTGTGGCCGTCGTCCCATTGGACGATAACACTCATCCCTTCGTTGGAGATTTCGACGACGTCCGCCAAAATGTCGACTTTTAGATGCTTCTGCGCGCTTGGTTGACGTCCAAGTGCCGTAGGGTGCAAGCACTGCGGACAGTGACAGTTATCTCGCAGCCAGACGAAAGGATAAGCTTGACTCTTGGCACCGCTACCTTCCCAGGAAACATTGAGTACTTTTCTCTCCAAGTCGACCTTTACATTGGCTAGAGTGTTGAAGCCATGGCCAAGGGATGGTGCTTCCCTAGCCAGTGGTTGCGGTGGGGCAGTGTACACTGCATTGGGTAACTGTGTGCTACAGTATGATCTTAACAATGGCTTCCCTAAAGCTGCTGGTGTGTACTGACCCAGCGCCACAATGGCTGTGCGTAGTGGCGTAGCCTGCTCGTTGACTTGGCCAGACCAGTCGCGTGTTGGGAACATCTACGGACCAGCCCTGGCCAGAAAACCTGAGCCACAGCGCACCCGACAAATCTAGAGGCCATCTTGCATGTCTTGGTTCCTTTAGTACAAAGGTTGTGGCGTAATTATGATCTTATCAGTTGCACGATACGTGCCAGTTGTCATATTTGCATGTACAATACGTATAGTTTCATAGAGGCTTGCCACTTGCCAGTGCCAGTGTAAAGCTAGCTAGTAGTACTTGCATAGGGGCAGAGTAGGCTATGCGACTATGGCGTGTCAAACGTTGCAAAATTAAGTGTTTTACAATATGTTCAATATGTGTGTGATGTTTTTAGCTGCAGGATAGCAGCTCAAAAAAATCATCATTTCTCTCCGTTACTAACAAACGGTGACATTGTCTATTGCTCCTACATATTTTGACCGATTTCAACCAAATTTATCAAAGGTATCAGTAGCCCAACCCTAAGTGTCACATGACCAAACTGGGGTCAAAGGTCATCATATGGTCGAGGTAAAAATAACCTCAAATTTCAAAGCAGGCTCAAAAGACAAACGTAGTGCTGTCAACATGTGGGCTTTGGTCATACAATAAAACATGTCCATGTTGATCTCCTTGTCTGACCTACAGTTAAGGGGTCAATGGTCAAAATAGGTCCAATTTCAAATAAGCTCAAAATAAAAGTAGCGTTGTCAACATAATGGCCTTAGTCATACATTAAAAATTTCCATGCCCACAAGGTCTAAATAAGTATATCATATATATAAAATTTGGTAATTCTTAAGAGAAATGTAACAGTCACCTCACCAACAATATCAGTGTGAACACGAATTCGTTAGCCCGCAGCTTCCGAGGTCCGATCGAGCACATACACGCATGTTTACGTTACATACCTAGTGTGGACATTCCCTTGCTTTCGTGTAGTTAAGAAAAAGCTCTGAAATAAACTCATTTTACTCTCACTGTGAAAACACTTTCAACCCAATTTTTTTTCTATGATTTCCTTTAGTGTTTCTCTTCATTTTGCCACAGATAAGCCTAACCTAAAAATGCCTCTAAGCCTGTTTTCCAGAAATGGGGAAACACTGTGTGGACTTGCCCAAGTCCACACGACGTCGCCTCTACCTGGTTTATGTGGACCTCTTTTGTTTGGAAGTCCATACAGTGAATATAATGCCTACTCACAGACACCCACGTTTGTTTATGGTGTAAATCAAGGATTTTCTGTTGTTCGTCTTTCCTCTTCCTTTGTTCATAGTCAACCTTTTTGCAACAGCTCTCATTGGCTTTGTACTCGTCTTTAATCGAAGTCGTCCTCTATTCGGTTCCTGTCCTCTATTCATCGATGATGTTGTGAAATGTATGTCCTCGATTTACAGCATAAACACGCACACGACCTTGTTGTCTGTCCGCAAGCTTCAAGTTTGAGTATAATGTAAGAATGCAAACGGTATTTTTGGGTACCTTTAACGCAGTGCTCGTCCAAATCGTTCTCAATTTGTATAAGCAATCACAATGGTAGAATTTTGCAGAAATAATGTTGTTGTTTTTAAAAGCAAGGAACACATATTGCTCTATGGTTCGGATGGGAAAATATTGTAAAAATAAAGCAAACGGTACGGGCTTGTACCCGGAACGAAGTGATCGCCCAAAACGTACCCAATTTGCCGATGTAAGCAATCATTATGGTACTATTTTGCAGAAATAATGCTTTTCTTTTGTCGAGGGTATTACATCATGATCTTAGAGCCAGAGTCCATCATTTGCAGCTATCCAAAAAGTAACTGGCGTAATTATTGTTGAAAAACATACTTGGTTGAAAGATAGTAAGGGGAATGAACTCCCTGTGAAATTATTCTATCTGGCAAGCTGTCATTTTGAAGAAATCAACAAAACAAGGCCTTTCCAACGGTGCTTCTTAAGAAGCACCGTATGAAATTCAAATTAGTAGTTCGTTTTGTTATTCGGCGAAGCGCGCGCAAGCATTGGCACGACGCACACGCGCCTTCGGTTGCTACAATTCGTCGGATCAGTGCGTGACATCGCATAGCTGCAATCGGCTCAGTGAGAACGTGTCTCGGACGCTGGATTCAGGCCCAATTCAAAACATAATTCAGCAACTTTTGATTTGAAATCGAGAACCTAGAATGTTGTTTTTCTCAAAATATACAGCTAAAGCTGAGCTGAAACTTCATCAGGTTAGTTGTTTAGTACCCTTCTTTAGATCCTGAGCACTTTTGTTGCTTCAAACGAACAAAATGCACAAATTACAAATGATGGACTATACCTTTAACTACTCTCGGTAGACACTCCCGGTAGACAGTGTGGAAATGTGTATGTATGAAAAAGGTGTATGAAAATGCATGTACCCAACACTGTCGCCGTTTAGCTTATACGTAGACAAATTATCCACGGGTTTTGGAATAGTTACGGTAACCATATCATTAGACGGGACAGGTGGGAACTTGGCTAAGGAAGCTCCATGGACGTACCAGCATTTACATGTACATGTACATGTATTACGAATACAGAATTGCCCACTTTGCCGCTTTTGCAGTATGGGCCTTATTCACGAGTTGGCCATTTTTGTCGAGTTTCCAGAACGTATGTCATTAATTGTTCAATTGGATGGCACCACACTATTTATGCAGGCACAATGCAGCCTTTTTTACTGGGTTTTTTTAATCTGGCTTTAAACATTAGGGAATTTGTAATTACAAATTTAAAATTATTCATTGAAGCAGACTGGAATTAATTAGGAATTAACTTGCTTTCCTTTCTCTTCGCAAGTTCCAAAAAATAAGATTTTACCTCACTTTCAATTCAATATGGCCGACTCATGAATAAAGCCCCATATCTGGTTCTTTGACCTGACGCGATCCCATGTCGTTTCATAAAAGACTTCAAGCAGAATAGCCAGACTTCCTAGGTCTAGTAAATTATAAAAAGACCACGACTCTGAACGAAACATCAAATGCATCGTGAAACATCAAAATGTACAGTGAAACATCAAATGCATATTGCAACAAAATGTCGAATTTGACCGAAACATGAAATACATATTGCAACGAAACATCAAACACACATACCTCAACAAAAGCACACCTGAAGAAAAATACATACCTCGAACATAGGTGCAGTGCAAACGATCTATAGGCGAGTCGGGTTGGTGCAGTGATACTCTCCTAGCCCGCCCTTCACTCTGTGAACCGTTGTTCGTGAAAACAAAATCCATGGCTGCCAAAAGCCTGCCAGAGGTTTTCTATTCATACCTAAATGTATTGGTTTTCGCTGGAATGGTTGGTTTCCTCCGTTCCCCTTTTAGAAATGAGCGTGTTCTTCTTAATAAACAACAGGTTTCCGAGTTGAAGTGTAATTATACCAGGGAAAGTTAATAATTAAGTTGCTATTAGGCGTATTTTGAGATGTATGTATTCGTGAAAGAGCGCTTAGTATCTAAATGGAAAGATTTTGGGGAAAAAACATAAATCCAGGCGCATTTCCTATTGGCAAAGCACCTGTTATTTATGGGTTTGTTTTTCAAATCTTTCCATTTAGACGTTTTTCAAGAGAACAATCCTAGCCAAATCAGATCCAGGCTTACTTTTAAAATGGAGCCATGCAGCATCTATGTCGAAATTATTCCATTTTAGGAGTTAACCAAGGCTCTGTTTAAGAGTTTATAGTACATTTACCTCCTTTCCAGAGTCACAATGCCTCTCTTAACCTTTTTTAACAGTCGCTGTGACTGTCCTATGGGGCTAATGTGACTCTTATGGGGCTAAGGTGACTCTGCTACGGGGCGAAGGTGAACTCCCATGCGGCTAGGGTGACTCTCCCATGGGGCTAAGGTGACTCTCCCATGGGCCTACGGTGACTCTCCCATGGGGCTAAGGTAATTCGTTCAAAGAGTCATAGTGTTTTTTCAGTGGAGCCAAGGCAATGTTTAAAATGACCTAATTATATTCATGTTAGTGTAGTTATGGGGACTATTGCAAAACATTATTATTTGTAATAAAAATGTTGACAACGTCATGTAGTAGACATGACGTAAACAATGACATACTCTGATTAGCAAAGAATTATATTGGCGCCTCCCCTGATGTGGTTGTGTACAAAGTCTATGGGAATCAAGTCATGAACAGTTTCAAAGTAACAACAGGCTATTATAATAGTTGTCCAAGGCCTATAACGTATTTTCTAACCAAACTTTTGTTTCTTCAGCAAAAAATTCTTTTCTAAACATAGGCTTATGTACACTAGCAAAACATCACTTTGTGAAAAATGGAGGCGCCGTGCATGCCAAAAACTTTCTCTGATTACTCCTGATTTGTAATGGTTATTGTGAAACTGAACTTATAAACTTTAACGAACTTGACTCCACTGAGCGAGCATAGCAAGTAGGCTTAACATTAGCAACAAGATTGCAGCTAGCATAGCTACGTAGGCTGGAGACCAGCCGTATCGATCTGGTTGTATGAGAGTCAGTGCCTAGACTACGGTAGAAACGAGCTTTACGCGCCATCAATAAAATGAAATTTAAAAATCGCGAAACCTGCCACCAACGACTCTGAGGAAGGGAGTCAAATTGACTCTACAGTATAGTCTACAAGTTTACTCTTTATAATAGTAAGGGGCCATTTACTCTGTTGTAGGAGTCATTTGACTCCAAATGGGCTATAATTGATAAAATCACAATGTGACACCCTATCAACGGGGAACGCAACAGACACATGTAGAAAATGGCAGAAGGACAAAAAAATGATGTTGTATTCCGGCAAGATTTTGTAAAAGTCACCGTACATTTTGTACACCAGATTGTCAGGATTCGGGACTCGCCATCGTTGGCTGTGATTATCAGCATCATAGTCTTCCACTCCTTGGCCGACGGTTAGAGCACAGGTTTTTCTCTTGATAATTAGAACCAGAGTAGAGAAAAGTTGCTAGCCCTACCACCTGATAGTTTTTCTTGGTACAGTTCTAAATACAGTGTAGAGGATATAACATGTCTTCATCAGAAGCCGAAGAAGTTATCCCAATAATTTGTAGACCCACAGCCACAGGCGGGGTACCTTCCACCGTCGGTGCGACAATCTCACCTCCCGCCTTTGGGGTGTGAGTTTGCTATAACACAGCCCGAGGAAAAGTAAGCACAGCGGACACATG